GGCCATTGTTAGGCCGTGGCTTCCTGAGGCTTACTTAATGATTTATCCAAGTATCGGATTCTCGTGGCCTTCGGCCCGAGAAATTTTCTGCGTCAGCTCAAGTGAAATAACGGAATGAGATAATAGAATATTTATATACCTTAAGCATCGATACTAGCTAAATTTTCCATCGTATTACTCATTTTTTTTTCAATATGTCATCAAGTGCTTCCACCTGGGTCTAATCGTCGTTGAAGAAAACAAACGTCCGAACCAGAGAGTAATGAAGATTCTCATAAGGCCTCCTATTCTTGCCCTCGCAGTTCTGGAACTTTTCATCTTTACATTGCATCCGGATTGAACTTTCATTTAAGCGCGGGTTTTTTGTTAAGTCCCTAAGCTGATTTAACAAAAATTCCCGTGAGCATCGGAGCGATCCTCTTAGCGGCAAGTTTGCTCAATTAACTGAATCGCTGTGCGTCACTTATGATGGACGGTGTCGTCCACATTATGGGGGATGGTTTCCTGCTGTCACCATTGCCCTACCTACCTTGTTCGGTCTTACATCTTGCATAGTGTAAATTGCCATTTTTCTGACTTCGCCCTGCTTCTTATTAACAGATGACTGCGCCTTATTCTGTAACCCAACATCCACTTGTTCCAAGATGGTTGTCCTCTCTCCCATCTCATAGCTGTCCGTCTGGAAGTTAAAGCTAAGTTTTTTTTTTGTTTGCTTTAATTATCTGAGGTAAGATATTTCGCAGTTTAAAATGATTGAAATGATTTAATTGTTGAACTTTAAATTTTTTTGTAGTTGGATAATTAACCTAACTCTATAGAAATATTTTTGTGTGTCGATTAAGTAAAATATAGATTGACTAAGGAATTATAACCTTATTTAAATTATTGTAACTTAAGTTTAATTGTAAAAGAAAAATAAGTTCTTCATGAAATTATTTAATTGAACTTTTGGAGTTTCCCTTCATGGTGAGGATTGATTGTAATAGTGTCATTATTGAGCCTCTTTGCTCCTCTCAGGGATTAATTTGCTTGTAGGATTGTAATAGCTTGAATTTAATAATATTTTACGCGGTTAAACTACACTTAAAAAATAGAAATTATATGTGCAATAACTGAAGATCAGTTTTAATTAATGGTATTAAGTGCAATAGTCTGCAGTATTTTTTTTTTTTTTTTTTTTTTTTTTTTGTGTTGTATTGTTTTCTTTTTTTTTTTTTTTTTTTTTTTGTTTTTTTTTTTGGAAAGTGTAACTTGTTAAATTTATTTATTTTTTTTCTCCCCGGTGAGGATACTGTTCATTTATTCATAGTCTATTTCTGGTATGTTTACTTGATTGTAAAAGTAATTATAATAGATATTCTAAAGGCTAAAGTTAAAGTAATATTACTCAGTAAGAGTATGGATTGTAAAACTCAATAGTTTACAGAACTGTTTGAATATATTTTGATTTACTAAGTAATGGATATAGTAATTGCAGAAGAATTTAATAAATAGGTTCACTTTCTAGATCAGTCAATGGTTATTTTATTTTGTGTGCTCATGATTTTCACCAGTCTACTTCTCAAATTAATTTTAGGGTTAATCCGGTTTACACAATGCGATAAGATTTTATTGATACTAGTACTTTACTGTTGTAAGAGTATTTTAAGTGTTATGGTCAACTAGTAGGTTACCTTTCAGGTACTTTTCAAAAACGACATAACAATCAAAAGGAAATACTAAAAACTTATGATTACAGCTTTTGGTGTAGAAAAATTAGCCTTTTTTAGAATGTTAAAAAATTGACAACAACTGGTATATTTTATACACCAATGCCCTTTAAAGGGTTAAATATCTTAAAACTGCTATGAATGAAAATGAGCTCCATGATCACATTTGAAATTCAAAGTGCACAAATGATTCAGACACTTATTGGTTGATGCAATGATGTATTAAAAAACTGCCGAAAATGTAGCTGAAACATCTTACTGATGTCTTGTATATCTATGTTAACTCTGTACATCTTTAAAAATTAAATCATTTGTTAAGTACTTGATTATCTCGCTATGTATTTAGTCTAGTTCATTTCAAATCACTCTTTTGTGGTATGACATTTTCTTTGTCAAACAGGGTATTATAAGTTTCATACTCCTGCTTTTGTTATCAATTAAATTTTGACAATAATTCATACAGTCAAAAGTTGTTAATCCGGACTCGTCGGGACTTCGGCGATTCCGGATTATAGATCATCAGTTTAAATCTCGTAAGATGGCATGCAGAAATTCTAAAATTAAAAATATGAAACCGTTAATTTATGAAAATAAAGAACAATTATAATCTAAAGGGTATCAAAATTTAACAAAAAAAAAAAAAAGCTTATATTATTTCTTTACATTATTAAACATTTCTTTCAATGTAAGTCGTTTTTTTTAAGGGGTTGTTGCTTTGTTTTATGTGATATTACTTTCTCTTTTAATTCTTAAATAACAGACATGATTTCTTGTTCGTTACAAAGTTCCGCCGTTCAAGTCCCGGTTATTGCTGTGCCGAGAATACCGACTAACTGTCAACTGAAATTTTTTTGTTTTCACTAACCTCTCTGTCACATTCTTCACGTCTTTATCCCATTTTTTGCAGCAATTCCACTTTTTGTTTGCTGGACATCGAAAAACTTTCGTTTGTGCGTCCTTGGGGAGCTCCAGAATCGAATTCTATTTGACATAATCGAAAGTTCAAGTTTACTTTTATAAAATTGCTCTTACAGTCTGCAAAAAATAATAAGCCGGATCCAATTCGAAGATTAAGGAACAACGCAATCATCAACATTAACTGAAATAGATAATTAGATAATTTTAGCTTATACCGTCTGTTATACATAAAACGCCCACGCGAAAACTTTTCTGCACTTGCACACACGCATATGCGCAGTCCTAAAAGGTCTTAGGCGCACGCGTAAACGCCTATGCGCATGTGTCAATGTGGCGCATGCGCAGAAACTTTTTAGCTTTGAGGTCCGGATTATGGGTGTCCGAATTAACGACTTTTGACTGTATTCTGAACCATTCTTCAAGCAGTAACAAGAACAAATTAACATACACATACATAGAAAAACAATACTATAACCTGTCAATAATACCAAAAGAAAAATTAGAAGAAATTTTAAAACAAAAACAAGATTAAATAAAAAATGAAGGTCAAACTTGCAAAAGTATCAATAAATATTTAATGCAAAACATAATTTAATAATAAGAAAATTAATTTTCTTCTCAATTTGCTAAAATTTTTCCACCAGCTACCCAACAACTGTATAATTAGCTCTTTAAAAAATTTCCAGAAAGATTTACTAATTATCCTGTTATGCAAGGAACATCCCCCCCCCAAAAAAATTAAAATACACAATACTGAATTTGCTAAAATTTAAAAAACTTATGATTTTAAGATTTTGCATTTTTAAAGATTTAACATTCAAATTGTGCATTTGTTATGTTTTTTGCATGAATTTTATTTGGTACCATTATTTAAGTTGCATATTAATTGCTTTTCAGTTTGTTGGTTCAATGCATATTACTATAAAGGAAGAGTTTGGTAGTAAAAAAGGGAAAGAAACTAATAAAAATTAATAGTGCTAGAGCTGTTATTTGGGGCTATCTAAAATTTTTAACTGTATTCGTTTACACCGAAGAGCCATTACATTATGACCACCCTGGGGTTATAACAATGGGCCTTGCAAAGAAAAAAAAAAAAAAAAAAAAAAAAAAAAAAAAAAAAAAAAAAAAAAAAAACAACTGCACGTGAAAGGCTGATGTTGGAGTATATAAAGTGGCTATGGATTGTTTTTCCAAACATAGCGCAATTAGCAACATAATGGGAAAAGCAGCATATTTATCAAACTTTGATAAAGATCAAATCGTTATGGCTCGGCGACTGAGAACATCAAGAACAACTGGGAATATCAGAAACGGCATATTTAGTAGGCTGTATACATGTGCAGCAGTTGTGAGGACATATTGAAAGTGGTGTACGAATGGTGAAACAACAAGTTACCAGCCAGCAGTGTGTCGTCTAGAGCACACAGATTCCAGAGGAAAGCGGAGATTGCTATGCATTGTTCGCCATGACCTAAGATCTACAACAGCCAAAATCACCACCAGCTACAACAGTGATGACCCAAACAGTGTTTCTCAACACACTGTGCAGCATGTTGAGAAAGATGGGCTTTTTTTACATTTTTTTATTGGGAGATTTTGGGATTGCACTAGTTTTAAATTTCATTTCTTTCATGTCTTTGTGGAACATATTCAAAATTTTATACTTTTTAGCAGCATTTTATATGGAAATTATATCAGCACATTTTTGTTATAAAAAATGTCTATAATAATTTTAATTAAATGCTTTCAATAACAATTTGATATTTTTTTTTTGTTCATAAATTTTACATTCAAGAATGAGAAAAGAAAACAAAAAAATTTATTTTTAAAAATGACACTTTTTGAGTTAAGTTTTAACATAATTTAACAGAGAGGATCTGATTAGTCAGATGGCTACAATTGATATTTATTTTAAAATAAAAAGACAACAAATTTTTCCAATTATTTGCTGGAATTTATTTCAACAGTGTTCTTTTTTAAGAATTCTGTAGCTTCACTATTGCTGTTTAACTTAAATATCATGCATAAAAAAAGTAAATTTTTTCATAAAAGAATTTTATTCATTTACTTTTTAAATTTACATATCATACGCATGTAAATGGAAATATTCACCCTCCCAAAAAACTATTTCATTATTGATTCAGAAGTCAAACAACAAAAATCAGCGTTATATTTACAAAATTTGTAAATATAACGCTGGTTTTTGTTGTTTGACTTCTGAATTAGTATTTATTCGGCGTGTTATTGTGTCTTAATTATTTCATTATTTTTTTATGTCATCTTACATAACTCACATCAGAAAGAAACGAATTTACATTGGCTCTCAGTTGGCACTCAGATATGATACTAAGACAGACTGCTATTATTTTAATCATTTTTCCACCAAAGAAAATATTAGCATGCAACATGCATTTATGCACATTTCAAACAACATTTCATTTCCACAAACTATTCACTTTATACGAGTTAAATGTAAAAATAAAAAATAACTGAACTGATAAGTATAACTATTAGCTGCTGTTACCTGGATCAGGAGGTTCTTTTTTCACAAAAATTTCACAATTTACAGAAGCTGAATTTGTAACACCTTGACTCTGAAAAATATAATATATAAATAAAAAAGAATTTATTTCTTAGATGGTATGATGTTGCAGAGGTATTTAACAATCTTCACATATATTAAATAAAAAAGAATTTATTTCTTAGATGGTATGATGTTGCAGAGGTAGTTAACAATGGTCACATAGAGCCCTTGTATGTTTTGCCATAATCAACTACAGAAACAAAAATAGTCGTAAAAAATTCTGAGTTGATTTAGACAGAATTTCAGTGTTAATATATAATAATGGTATATTTTTGCCTTCCAGTAAGATCTTATTAAATGATGAATATTTGCTTGGTTTGTGTTTCTGATCTAAAAATAAATATCATTTGATTTAGATTAAAAAGAAAATAAAAAATAAACATATAGTTAGGGCTAATCATTAAAGCAGCCATTGAAGTGTAGAAAGTTTCTATTAAAAAGAAAAACTACTAACTTGCCTAGAAAAGGAATACTATTAAAATCTTAACTTATGGAATAAATGCTGAAGATATGGACTTGCAACTGTAATTGTAACATAATTACATAATCATAAGGAGCCATCTAGATGAGTATGCAGACAATGACCAATTCAGACGTATGTTTTGATGAATCTTCTTTTCTTATCCTTTTTAATTCATGTAAATAAATCACAGTTTAATAACTTGACGAGTATTAGTGATGTTTTCAACAGATTGCTTACAACACAAGAAGAGGATGGTTACAATGATTTCAAGTATTAGCTCTCTTTCCAAGAAAAGATTTCTAGATAGCTTCTAACATTATTATTATTTATGTATATCAGCATATGCACGAACTTAATATTTGTGATATACAAAATGTGTCTACAAAAGGCTTTATCCCTTACATACTGATACTAGATATTTCAATTTCAATCACAAAAGTTCTTAAAATAATGCAGAGAATTTCAACACAGGGGGATGTGAAAGAGTTGGATCTTGTCTTCAACACAGTTGGATTTTGTCTGTTTGGAAGATTTTTTGAACATGGCAAAGCCCACAAGGGCTATCTGCCAAGGGGGGCTTCATGAAGAGTTTTCTTAAGGTAACAGGCTCATATTCACTTTACAGATGGGAAAAACTAATTATGCAACCAGCCTGCTCACCCAGGACCAAACTCCTAGCACTTAGCAGTGTTAACCATTCAATCACATCAATTTGTATGTAAACCTATTGTTCACATCATGGTCATTTCTGTGCCAAAGCCAGTCTATATAGAGTAGTGCAGACAATATTGACTTTGGATCAAGCATCAGTAGGCGAAGTTCTCTTCACAGATGTATTTCAATAAACCTAGCCACTGATTTTCAATCTACCTACATCTAAAGAGAAAGAAGGACCTAGTACCCAACACAGATCATTCATGAAAGTATCAATATAGCAACAGAGGTTTGATGTCTCAAAAAGCATCCTGTAGAATGTGTACATAGATGCTCATGTCTTTGACAGAGGCTAAAGAACTGTACATATATACAGTACATGGAGCTATAAGTGATCTTATGGCTCCATGTTTGCTTTTTCAGAGATACACTCGACACTAATAATTATTATGAATCACAATGCTCACATACAGCTAATCCAATCTCACTATTGACATTTTGGTATACGAGGACATTAACTGGATGGATTAGGTCAATATTTAATCCTAAGCCCTGTAGAATATACATCTGGGATGCTCTTTGGGAGAACCACGGCAACTCACCTTTACTCTTTCTCTCCCAGAATCCTGACTGCCATAGGGTCTCATAAAGTGCCTTATTTCCAGTATGATTTCATATTGTGAGAGCAGTATGACTAGTAGAATGAACCATAGCTCCTTTTAGCCTCCTTTCTTGTTTGATCTTCCACCATCAATGAGTCTTATGTACTACCATGTGTGTGTATCAAGACTACTGTGCGATGTGTATACATACAAATATCTTAATACATGTATTATATCCACTAATGCTTACAGAAAATTTCTTTTAAAATATTCTCCTTAGTTCTGATCATAATCAATAAAATGTACAAATTCCCTTTTGTACACCAGTGTATATTTTAAAACATCAGCAGAACTGCAGTTATCAAACTTGTTTGTTCTCATTTCTAGGTCAAATAAAATTAAGCACGTTGGCAACTGTCTGCAATGGAGTAAACTGTGGTAAAATTTCTGGAGAAGTACAGCATTGTTACACAATGCCCAGCCACAATAGGCCAGCTTCTTCACAATGTGGGCTTAGGGTTACCAGAAAATGGCAAGGAAAGATAGAGTTGACATATTTGGTACAAAATCACCCATTTGGCGACATGCCACAGAGGGATGGAGGACATTCTGGAACGAATTCTTACCGGGTTGGCCAAGAATGTTCTCAAAGGCAGGCCAAAAGTTATATAAACCCTGCCTGTAAGTAGAGTAGCAGGCTAGTTTTGAGTTGGTTGTTGAGCTTATCACGAGTTAGTGCATTGCGAGAGTGTCTTGTCAGTGTATCATGAGTGTGTATCGTTGAGGCTATCGAGTGTACTGTCGAATGTATCACGAACTGCAACATGGAGAGTCTCAAGAGTACCTTGAGTTCTGAGAACAACCAAACTGAATCGGGGTACTGTACTCTAGAGCAGTGATTCTCAACTGGTGGTACACAAAGAAACAAAGTATGTTTAACTATAAATTAAAAAATTAAATACCCTAACACCCTGTTTAAGTTTTTTCTCTAACACTCGTAAATGCATGCAATCTGAGCTTTGTTCAAGGCCAATAACAGCTCATAGATTTTAGGAATATTCTTTTAGCCATAGACATAAAAAAATTGGTCATAAATGATGTTTTTAAAAGGAGTATTAGAAATGGATGTCATATTTAATAGGAAATAAAAAAAAAGTTCCCATAAAAAGATAATTTTATCTCGTTAATTCTTTTAGAGTTGATTGATTTATTAGCAAGGCTATACTTTATGTCTTCACTATTTCAGTGCTCTTATTGCTCTATTTTCATTGCTGTTTCTAACAGTATTGCCTTTTTGTTGCCTTGTGTTCCTTATGTTTCTATGCGATTTGAGAATATTGTCATTTGTTTTTAAGAACTCGTAATATATTGTACATTTGAATATTTGTGAAAAAATAATAAAACAAACCTAGGTTTTCAAAATGGAAAAAATGGTTTGGATAATGACTTAACAGATAAGTAATGATTCATAGAGGACAATCTACTAGCACCAAGAATATTGAAACGAAAAGAAAAATATTGTTTGTAGAAAATATAATGAAAGTTATTTATCATTTGGATTTACTTGGAATAGAGAAGAAATGGACTCTGAACCTCAATGTGCTGTTTCCATTTTTAATTCCGATTATAAGCGCAACAATTTAAAGGATAAATCTGAAGAATATTTTATTCTATCAAGCTGAAGAATTGATAAGAGGAAATTATCAGTTCAAAAATAGTAAACAAGTAATGCAAAATTTTGCTACTTCAAGTGAAAAAGCTTTGGAAAGGCCTATTTATTAAAAAACTTAATAATATTCCATTATCAAATGATGCAGTAAGTCGATAAATTCATGAAATTGCAAATTCCATAAAAGAGACGTTTATTAAAAAAAAAAAATAAAACACAGTGAGTATTTCACATTGGAACTGGATGAAAGTACTGAGATAATGAACTAAATGTTGAATCATTAGTTTACATACATTTTTAATGCTCAGTTGTTAGTTTACATACATTTCAAAGAAGATAAATGAATTGCCAAAGAGCATTTATTTTGTGAATATCTTCATGATAGAGCAACTTCAAATGAAGTTTTCAAAATAACTGATGGTACTATTCGGTTTTGAGGGCCGTAAAATATAGCCAAACTATTGTTGATGCTAGTGCTGCAAAAAATAATTGCGGCAACACTAATGCAAGAAAGGAAGTATAAGTATAATAGTAAATAACTATTTAAGATTGATGTTTTAATTTAGATGAAAGGTTAATTTCATATAATACCTTTTTATTATTATAATTTATATAAAAAAGGCTAAACATGGCTGAATGGAAGCATAAGAGTGAATAACTATTTCAGATCATTATTATAATTTATATAAAAATTGCTATACATAATGAATGGATGCCTGCATCGCTATTTCACTACCGAGTTATTGCTATAGCATAATTTCATCTCGTTGGTTGTTCAAACATAATTTTCTATAATGAAAGATGGCTTTTCTTTGAAAAAAATTCTCAGTAAAGTGCAGAATCACCCACTTATTTGTTTGCTGCTTTTTACAAGGGTAAAAACAATTGGATTTTCGTCAATTTTCTTTTACTTTTTAAGTGACAATAGGTTGATGTATACATAGATAAAGTCAAGGGTTTGCACAGTGCCATTCTTGTGCAATTCTGGGATTATTTTTTTTACACATATATATTTTTTTTTGGAGTGAAAATAGGTTGATGAGTACATGGATACCGAATACTGTGCAATTCTTAATAATATATCAAGCAGTGGGTGAATCTTCACTTTACCCAAAATTCGATTGCAGACTTTTCGTCATTGTCAATTCCCAAAATGTTAAATCCATAGGATATCAAAAAAGGATTTAAAAATTAAACTAGTATTTCAATGGCATGTTAAGAAATATAGAATTATATAAACTTATGCCATCTGAAATTAGTGCGTACGGTAGATTTGGCGCATTTGCGTATACATTTTTGCTGCAATTTTTTTACGGTTCTCAAAACGGAATAGTACCTAAATTCTTTAAATTGACAATTTTATATCTGAGAATGATATTGCTTGAAATAAGTGCACTGCCGTGCACAGTGACAGAGCTCAAGCTTTGACAGGAAAACATTCTAGAGTTAAAGTTCGACCTGAAACTAAATTTACTCACTGATCCATCCATTGTGAAGCTTTAGTAGCTAAAACACTCCCCAAAAATCTGAAAATAGTTTTGAATCAAGCTGTGAAAATTGTTATAAGAGATGGTCAGCAAATATGAAATGATTTTGTTATATTCCGAAGTAAGATGGTTATC